TGGTGTACTGGGAAAAGATCCTTTCGCCGCCCTTGGATCAGCTCTAGGAGTGATCGGACATTTTGTTGGCCAATGTGACCTTGGTAAACTTCAGAATAATTTGGATAAAGTAGAAAAATGGCTGAAATTTGGACAGGACTATGCTGCCCTGAAAGACTCAAGTGAATTGGATTTTGACCGAATGGATGTGGAAGCTGTACCTGAAGTAATGCAGGTAAACATTGAAATGCTGCATCTTCGATATCTATGTTTGTGTTTCTTAATAGCTTGTTTTGTTGTTTGTTTGTTTATCTACTGATTTATTTTACTCTTTTGTCTGTTTTGTTTTCTGTGTGTTTCTCTGCCTCTCTGTCTGTGTGTTTGTCTGTACGCCTCTTTCTTCGACCCTAGCTTTATTGCTGTTTCCTAAGTTATATCCAGCTCATGACGATTTCTTTATCTTCTTATAAAAAGGCTAATCTGGAAATGAACAAAGAGGGACTTGCAGCGGACCTTGTTTGCCTGCTGGATGAGAGGTCAAAACCCCGAGACTCGGCAAAGTTTCAAGAACAGATCGAACGATTTTTTATCTCCGGTGCAGCAAGAATCGATCTCATAGCAAAGGTCATTGACTTGGATAACGAAATCGGTGGACATAACTTTGACATTCCGAACTTAGAAGAGACAGCAAATGAAATTGAAAGCCTTGATAACTCTGGTGGTAAGGATCTTTGTGATTATACATCGCATCAATGCTATCTCTTTTTATAACAATGATATTTGCGCTTACGATCGCACGCAGGGTCGTGCACATGCAGGATGACGTGTGGCTATACATTTTCGCCAAAATTTCCCATCAAGTTTAACTTGAAGGCCACGTCGCTTCACGCTTTCCCTGTTGATGATCCTCTCTCCATAAATAAGCAGGAAAACGAATATTAAGCGTGACAGGTCACGAAAAGTAAAGGTCCACTAATAATATATTTCCTTTTCAGATTCTCCCATCGCTGATAGCACACAGCAGATGTTTCTGGATGATTTACTTACGTCCTATCAGCAGATAGAAACAGGATTTGCCCAACAACTGTACCAGTTGTACAAAGGTTTCGAGTTTCGCTCTCTATGGATTGTTCAGGAAAAATTAGCAGAATTCGAACGGCAAGCGGTGTCAGCCGCTCAGGGAACAGGAAATCTCCAAGGGATTTTAGAGCTTACAAAAGCACTTCAAGGAATCGATGATATCGAAAATAGGGGAAAGCGATGCTTCACAAGATTTCGCCACACAATCACCACGCACAAATGGACATTTGACAGTAACAGAGCTAAAGACAACGTGGTATGTGATGTATTCCTTTTGTCTTTGTTACAGTGAGCTATTAAATAAAACAGATGTTGTTTTTTTGCAGTTGTTAATGTTGCTGTTGATGTTTTTTGTACTGTTTCCTTGTTTTCCCTTTTGTTTTTTGCTATTTTTCGTTCGGTCGTTCTTTCAGTAACTGCCTTTTCAATTTTTCATTTTCTGTTTCTGAGCAAACTTTGGCATCTCCACGTGTGGCTTGTTACCTTGTTACGATTGTGACTGTGGGAAAATCAATTATTAAAGCAACCTCTGCATTAAATTTCATCTTTATTGCTATAAAATTGTTGACTTAAAGTTTCTTCTTCATTTCCTGCAGATGTTCGACGAACTTCATGAAGGCACTACGAGGTTTTCATTGAAAATTTCAGATAGCTGCGATCGCTGTTATAACGTGCGCCTTTTGAAGGTAATAACTAGGTTCAGATAAATTATGCTAATTCATCTTTGGCCATAATGTTATAATAAGGGCATCGAGCATGAAGCCGGCATAATGAGTAAGATTCTCCAGCACATGAAACGCTTTAAACTACGCTTCCAGTACTAACTTCTATAACCCTTTTTTTTTTAGTTTCTATTACTTTTCTGTAATTTTTACGGCTAGGTTTCTTCATTGAAAGCCTGGTTAGAACCTCAT